CCTTATTGAAAATATCTTGTCAAATTGGTAGTACAGTGTAGTATGTTGGCCCAACGTTTACCCAATGTTTGCAATACATTCTTGATGAAAATGTCTAATAAAGTTGGTAGTATAGTATGTTGGCCCGATGGTAGCACGAGTGTTCTTTTGTTTAGGTGTTTCAAAGATGGGATATTTATATTGGGCCAACGTTGGCCCAATTATTATACTGCCAACTTCATGTAAATGATGGTGTCAATTTTAGCTGCTGAGCTTTACGTTGGGTCAACGTTGGTTCCTAGTTCTAAAATCTTCCTAACTAAGTGTTGTATTCCCATGGCATTGTTGCCTCCTTGAACTGTTGTGGTGCAAGCTTATAATTATTTGGTTGCATAACATAAATTTAGATCACATTCTGAAATAATTATGAGGACATTCTTTGTCCATGCTTTTAATAAATTGGATGACTGCTTTAGTTTAGATCTGATATTTTCAACATTATAACTTTTAACTTAAGGGGGCCGACTATAGTTTCCATTGCGCAATATTTCGCGCATCATAGTAAAATGAAGCGTATTTACTGTTTTAATGCAACTTTTTTTCGCTTAATTATTAAAATTAAAAAAAAAAAGGTATAAAAATGTAATGACAATTTGATATAACTGACTTTTTAACCGATTTTGCAATTGATAGGTAGGTTGACGTCGTTGCAGTGTGTTTTTGACGTTATGATAATCTGTAGCTCTTACAGAAAGGGGTAATGAAAATATTATTAAAGAAAAAGTAGTAAACATACGCTCTTGAAATTTAAAACACATAAATTTGAGAATATCTCTAATATTATTATTATGTTTTCATGTTAATCCATTGTGTACGTCATATTTTGTAATACTCTATAAAAATAGTAAAATTTGTTAATTTTTTGCATTTTGAGATGCCCCCTCTGGTAACAACACGGTAGAATTTTGTGTTTCTTACATATATTGTATAATATAGTATTATTCATCAAATATTATAGTTTGAACAAAATGTCTATTGTAGTTTTTGTATAATTTGATTTAAAGTGCTAAAAATTGGCATTTTCCTATATAATCCTATAGTAAATGTGCCTGTATTTTGAGACGGTCCCTCAAAAATACCTGGACGGTAGATTTCCCCCAAACTTTGCATGTACACTGAAGTTAATGTAAGTTATATATGATATAAAAATGAAGAGTTTCGCTATTGTAGTTTTCACACAATAAAACTATAGTCGGCCCCCTTAAGTGATCACAGCACTAAAGAGTTGTTTATTCTATTTATTTTTATTTTTTTTTTTTTGGAAATGTGTGCGTGCTTATTCATTGTAATAAAACCCTTAAAATTATGAATTTTTTCATGAGCGTATTCATGAGAATTTAAAGAAGACTGAATAAATGTTTAAAAGTTCTCATGAACAGGATGTGAGTAAAGCCTACATATACATAAATCAAGATAACACAGCTTTATAATTAAATTGAAACAAAAGTTAGGCGTTCGCTTAAGCTTGGAGAGTCACGCGATTAAAACACCATCTGATCTTAACCAAAAAGACATTCGTTAAAATATAGGTTTAATCTAGAATTCTGGAAAAGAAACCTTTGTAATTTCTGGAATAACCCCCACCCCAAACACACACACTTGCACAAACTTTTTGTGCAGTCACTGAATTTCTTAAACAGTCAAACATCTGCAAATCACATATAAGTTAGTAGTAAATGGATATTTAAATGGCGATCGTTCCAGTCGGGATCAGTTTACACTTAAGTCGGGTTCGGGTTGCAATTTATTCACACAATATGTTGAATGTGACGGAGGATGGCAAAACATCACCAGAATTCCTTGACATCTTATATTCGTTTGCAAACGAAGATAATAACGAAAAAGATCCATCGATAAGTAGAAGACCAGTATGCCCTAGATGTTGGTAATTAATTACATACATTGCCCAGAGTAAATCACTGTAAATGTCATTTTAAAAATGGTATCGATAAATAAAGACTAAAATGCAGACAGAGCTTTTCACAAAACATTGGACTTCTTTACAAAATATAGTAACAAAATACGAAATTAGACATCCCCATTTAAATTAGGGGATTTTCTTCGTTCTGAACCTGGATTTACCTTCCGTAGGTTTTATGATTTTTATCATATTGGATGATCAGGAAGAATTTCCATACCTGAATGCCAATACATTTTTAAACCAATTTTTACTGGTGTGCTAAGAATACAAAATAAAACTTTTTTCATAGATACTTGTATATGTAGTTATTTACATAGTCTACTCGAATTAACTTGATTTTTTTTTATTTGTTTTCATTTTCCTAGTCGTCCAGTGGCTGTATGTTTGTGTCCATATTTACCGGAAAGTCCAGTGTCTATAGAAACCAATGTTTTTATCCTACAACATCCTCTTGAGGTTAGTTCATTTATCTTTATAGTAATTTAAGAAAATGATAAAACTATACAGCAAGAGAGAAAAGATGAATTCCTAACTATATATCAAATGTTGTTAGTCAGCTGCACTATCATTTTGAATGGTATTACATGTATCACGATGAGTATAAGTTTTTGAAGATGAAAAGCTTTTAAAAGGAAACATGTTGCAAACATTTTTTCCAAAAGTTTGAATTTTGAATCTATGTACAAGTGAACAACTTTTTTACCTCTTTCAGGAAAGCAGAAACTTGGCCACAGTTCCAATTTTATGTGAATGTTTACCATCAGAAAAAGTCCAAATCATCAAAGGAAAAAAATTCTCACCTCGCAGGTAAACTTATAGAATGTTTAGGGTAAATTCACTAAAAATTGTTTTATATTGAAGATATTAACATTTAGAGTTTGCTATGTGTTAATGTTTTATTTTGATGTCTTATACATGGAGGGACTTACAGCTTTCTCTATGTTTTTAGTATTTTAAAAAAATCAGTCTCTCTTTTATTTTTAAGTTCAGAATATCTAGCTCACTTTGAAATACATGTATTGTTGAGTTGCTGTTTGCTGGTCAAGATTTCATTATTTATCAGATCTTTTAAGTCATACATGACTGTAATATTTGTTTAGTAAATGTTGATACATATTTACTTCAGACACCCAAAGGTAGCTGAAATTCTTAAAAGTCCCAACACTCTCCTGTTGTTCCCTGACTCTGAGGCCGCTGACATTGAAACTATCCCCCCAGCACCAGATGGCCAGCCATACAACCTTGTTCTCTTAGATGGTACTTGGGGGCAGGCCAAAGGCATGTTCCTACATAATGAGGTGTTCTCATGGCCAAAAAAGGTAAAGTCCTTGGATTCCTCTGATTTATTTCTCATAAATTTCTTTATTTCCTGAGCTAAAGACTGGAGATTTACTGATCAAAATTTTCTCGTGCTAGCTTTTTGCATTGCAAACATTTCACAATATTTTTTTCTTCAGGCCAATTTCAGCCAATTTGCCACAAAAGTTGTTTTGAACATATTTTATTAACAACTTGTCAAAGGGTTTGGACATAAGTTCCAAAAACTTAGATAGTCTTTGACTTTCACCACAAAAGTTAGTTGAAACTTGAAAGTAATTCAGATTTGTTCAATGAAGGACCTTATCCTTTTTGAAGGTGAGATAATCAAAAAATGTTGAAAATTTTGATTGGGTCTGACATCTTAAAATGACACTTGTGCAATATCTTCCATACATTATGTTGATCTAAGTTTGTTCAAACAAGGCCTATTGTAGCCAAGATGGGACCAAGAATTTTGATACATTAATCTTCAAAAGAATGATCAGAACTCATTCCTTACTATTGCTTGCTTCAATTCAATGTTGTTTACAAGTTTTACACTAAAAATAAAGGACACGACCTTAACATTGTTGACATAGGTAATAAAAACTATGCGATTAATACAACATTTGATATTCTGGCACTTAATTTTCCAGTTTTTTTTCTTTCTTTACAGTGCAGTTAAGTTGTAAAAGCTTTACTTTATTCATAATTCTTTTCTTTTTTGATCACCTGATCGACGACATGTATCTTAATGAAAAAAAATGCATGATATCGACTAATATAACTTTAAATACAAAATGATATAGGTGTGTATTCCAGATCTGCTTTATGTAATCCAAGTACTTTTTTTGCAGATAAAACTGAATCATAGCTGTAAGAGTAAGTTTGTGATTCGTACTCAACCGAATGACATGTCATTATCAACACTAGAATCAACAGCCATAGCACTTGCAGCACTGGAGAGAAAGCCAGATATTGTGAATGTAAGTTCAAATCAGATATAATTTCAGACCTCTAGAAGTCTACCATTCATATTTTCAGTATAATTTTTTTTGGTGTATGGTTTTCCTCCATGCAAGATACGTACTGGTAAATCCAGTGGAGTATCTTTTGAATCACCAATCAGGCAATTCTACCCACCTATTAGTTTCTGCCTATAATCACAGAAAAATCACCATGTGACAAATAACTTAAGTCTTGAGATAAGAATTCTTTAAATTGAATATATAAAAAAAACATTTTTAAATCTCTAATACACTGTACAGTAAAACTTGTTTAGTACGAACACGGATATTGCAAATTCACGGATATAGCGAAGTCATTTTGAATCCCCAGCTATATAAATTTAATGAATTTATACGGTTATAACGAATTACGGATATAGCGAAGTAATTTCAAAGGTCCAAGCGACTTCGTTATAACCGAGTTTTGCTGTATAAGTACCTGACGTTTAGATGCTATTTTCATGTTTTTTTTTGGTTTTTTTTAGATTCTGACACGTCCTTTGGAAGCTCTTTGTGATTTCCAAATTCAACATGGAGCCTGCAAACATGACAGCAAAGTATTCAAAATAGAAAATGGACTCTGGAATAAGACTTTAAAAAAGAAATACTTAAAAAGGCTAGAAAAGGATGGGACATTAGAATCTCCACAAATTCCAAATTCTGAAGAACAGTCATCTTGACAATAGCTACAGTTTAGAACAAAATATAAAAATTATAAATAGACATTTATCACAAGTTACAGTTTATGTACGAAGCAAGGGACATGCTGTTATGTTCACATTGCAGTAAAAATAAGAGAACAAATTGCAGAGTAAATTTAGTTTTTCCATCTTCTTTTCAGCAATGATTATAAATTGTCTTCCATGTATCACAATTCCGTATTTCTAACACTGATTCTGATATAACTATTGTAGATATTTTATTTTCTGTGAGATCTTAATATCCCATAATGCTTACAGTGTATATAGACCTTAGACACTAAATCAAGCTAACTATCCATCTTTAAAAAACTTCGTAATTTTCAACATGATCACCAAATGGCATATGCGCATTCATTTAAGAATGGCAGATATAAACAGTAACTAAAGAGAAGACTAAAAGCAGGTTGAAACGGACATTTTTTTCCTGGGTGAAAATTACAATGAAAAAATCTACTCGCAAATATTTGCTAGTTACAAATACTTCAACTCGCAATTTGGATATTTTTAACTCAAATTTAGCGAGTTGTATATAGTGAATTTTGAGCCCTGTATTTTACATGTACGAAGTTTTATAAAAATATTTTTTACAGTTAATATGGAAATGAAAAGTGGGGAGGAAAGATTGAGGGAATAATGAAATACATGTATTTAACTGTAAGTGCTTCAGTCAAATCCTCAAAGAAAAAAATTTTTTAGCAATTTATATTTTTCTCCAGTACAAGATATTACAAAGTAATTATAACATTCAAATAGTTCATTTTAAAAATTGTCAGATAGTCTTGATACGAGCTTGAACAAATTGATAAATAATGTTTGAAATCTTTATGGAAATTGAGTAAATTAAGGCTCAAAAGTTAAATATTCCTGCTATAATCAATTTTGACAATATGATTGTAGCCAGTTTTGCGAATGCATAATCAAAAATAACAAACATACGCTAATGCTGCAGCACCTTTAATTATGTAAATTCATAAAAAATCAATGTAAAATCAACACAGATTTTGTTTATATATTCAAAGAAATGTTGAAAAATTTCTAGCAAGATTTCTACAAAGGGTTATACACTAAGGGACTAGATAGCTAGATTATAAATGGTTAATACAAATCATTAATACATGTAGTTAGATTGACAAAGCACTTTATCCGAGTTCTGGTCTTTTGGTAATGAGAACAGATATTTTATGTCAATATAAAGTGATTTGAAAATAATATATACATCCTTAGACACAACCTCAGATTATACAGAAATACAGACATCAAAAAAGAAAAATTGGAAGACACGCATATGCCTTTTTTTGAAATTCCAGCAAAATGAGGATTTAGATGTCATTTTTGCAATGAAAAGGGTAGACAGGTCTGAAAAGGGAATGTTCCCTGCATGTTATACCATAAAACTATATATCATAACATTTCTAAAAATTTGTTCAACTAGTGCCTGATCAACAAGGGTTAATAAAATGTGATTGTCAATATATATGATAAATACCGGTACATGTACTGATATACAATGTATATATTGAAGTCTCATGTCTTTCCCATAAAAAAAATCAACATTTCTATAAGTTTAAAATAAAAACTCTTTTAAAAAAATCTAGAACAACAATTTACAGTGTATATTCATATAAAAATATTTAATAAAATATTTTACACATTTTCACAAATGGATATACACATGTAAGTAACATGCAAAGGAAATTTAAGAGTCCTTTTTTTCATTTTACATATAAAAGTAGTCAATGCTTTAATGATAATTAACATTGCATAAAATTACCCCCAAATAGAAAACAAGAAACAGTAAGACTAAATTCATAACAATCAAGATTTATCTGTGTTTTTTATATCTAGGACATGGGACCTAAATAATTTGAATTACCCTGGTTAGTAACACAAGGTTTTCTTGACACACTCTTGACTAGACCACTCCTGTGACATTAAACCTTAAAATTCAATTTCTTTCAAAGTAAAATGTACACTGAAATGCTAGCACCAAACTTTCAAAAGTCTAATGTAAATTTTTCTTAATTAATTATAATGCTTATTTTAATTAAGAATCTAGTAATTCTCCTTTTTAAACACATTGTTTGATATGGTTGGTGGGTAAAAACTCTACACACACATCTCAACATAAAGGCCAACAATACTTTTCTAAGCCTTAACAAATTCCCATATGTGCTTATTTGCCTCCTCATAACCATCCATCGTTACCCAATGGCTGGCTCCCTCGATATATTTAATGGTGCAGTCTTTGATGTACTGCTTACTAAGCTCTGGCAGTTTTCTGTTCAAGGCCAGGTCCTCCACCCCCCAGACAATGAGGGTGGGGACTTCTATAGGTTTGAAGATACTCTTGTCAACTTCTTTCCTTAGGGCTGCCCTGTAGTAGTTCAATGGACCAGTGAAGCCATTTCCTACAAATATATTTTTTATGGCGTTACATATACATGTTCTTACTTTAAAAGTAAACATTCATTGACAGTAAAAAGAAGTACACATCAAAGAGACAAAAATTCATTATGTCCATTTATTAAAGGAAGAATTTATCAAGGGCAATCCATGGGAGGTCAAATTTACTGCTACATTGTGAAAATTTTCAACTTATTACTGCTACATCAATGTCTTAATTTTATGGTGACCAGGGGAAACAGGTTTTATGCATGTAATACTTTGAACTTTCAATGAACCTGTTCATCCATAAGCCGCAGATTAATGAAAGAGGTAATGTAGTGGTAATGTTTACTTTTAAATGTAGCAGTAATGAAACCTTTTTTGTAGTGGTAATAAGTATTTAGCGGTAATGACAATTTTGAAAATGTAGCAGTAATGACATGCACCCCAATTTACAAAGTAAAATGCACATGGTACAGTTTAAAAACCAAAACAATGAGCTACAGCTCACCACTGAATTCAAACAAGATGTCCATGGGCTATAATGCTCACCTGATTCCCTGTATATACTGTATGTGTACATTATCTGGCATATTCAAAATTTAGTGCAATCAATAGGTATGGGGTTGTTGGTGTAATCATGAATTAGCGCTATACACGTTTGTGCCATATATTCTATTTATAAACGAATTCTTAGTGGTATTCATGAATTAGCGCATCCTCGTCTGTGCCAAAGCCGCTGAAATATGAAGCCTGCGATTTTAAGTACACATACAGTATATTTATATGTAGATTAATGAAAACCCTTTCTATGGTCAGCAAATCTAGAATACAATAGCATACCACTCTCTACGACAATTTTTGGATATAATATTTTTCATTTTTACTGGTATTGTGAGCATACCCTGACCCATGATTTGAAAGTTGTTTACCTTTTTTGGTAAAATTGTACTTGTATGCCTCAATGTCTTCTTCAGTACAGTGCTGGAGTTTTTTACCATCTTTTCCTGTGAACATCTTTTCTAACATACTGCAGTTGTTATGTGACAACATGAACTCAGGCAAGAATGGCATTTGAAAGAAAAACATATACCTGAAATTATACAGAGATAAGCTGTTGGAATGGACAATTCTTTCCATTTGGAAATTCATCAAATGTCAATTTAACTAGACTGCTTTGGCTCCTTAAAGCAAAATGCTACAAATTTTTTCTAACCAAAATTTATGTCTGATTTGCTAGTGGATAATATTTCTGAAAAGACGATTTATGAAAGATGGGAGAATATTTCTGAGAGAACTCTACAGTTTGTCATCTAATAACAATTTTTTATGGTAATT